AAAATTTTGCAACCGGAGCTGTTCGTGAACCGAATTGTTCGTGAACAGAAGCGTTCATGAACCGAGGTACCACTGTGCTTCCACTTGAGTTCATGTAAGTATACATGAAAAGGCTCTCTTCAGAAATCTCTTCAATCAAAAGAGAAATCTTCTGGCAATTTTGAATTAATTATTCAATATGACTATTATAATTCATTAGAACAAAGAAATAGAATTCATTGTTAAACTATACTGTACAATATTATGCTGATATATTCTCATTCTTGTCAGAGGATAATAGATATTATTCTTCATGGAATAAGCTTGCAGGGAGAAAACAATCTCAGCTAGAAACTGGGTAAGTAAGGATGGCCACATTGTATGGTGTCTTTATGCAAAGTAATAGACCAAAAATTAAGACAAGCTTGATAAAGATAAAGCAATGAACACATTCAAGAAGCCTGGACACTCTTTCTTCAGCAAGATTGCATTACATTTTGCGTAGGAAATTAAGAGGTTGACAATATCTTCTGTGTTACCCACCACCACTTCCCTTCCCCATATCAAATTTCTCAACCTGCAGCTGGACATACAACACACAGCAGAAAAAAAATGCAGCTTTCCTGGTTTTGTTTTTTTCTGAAAAAAACCAAAACCAAACGGTTTAGTGCCAAATCAGCCTTTACAATCTGCAACAAAGTTAGCTAAAACAAGAGTCCAGGGTGGATACGGCATTCACAGCCAGTTTTGTGGCTCACAACTTCAAAGGCTCTTAATCAGGTAACACGCTACTTTCACTACACTTCTACCAGAACATCAAATTTCAGTTCACAGTAAAATCTATATGTAGCTGCAATTTAGACAGGAAAGAATTCAGGCAACTCACTCTGCAGGAATTTCACACACCCAGGAAATATTGATGATTCAGACTTCAGAATGTCAGAGTTCTGAAAACTATAATTTTGTAATAGGAGTCATATATATCTATTATGCCAAATATTAAACTAGTTACGATGGTGACTGGTGGACTTTGAATTATTGTTAAAGTATAAAGTCTCTATTGTCAGTGGACATTTTGCCATTATATCATCTTGGTATTCAAAGTGTTCTGCTAGCTCACATACAATCCATCTAAATAGAGCGTTTGCCACACTTTCTCAATGGTAACTAAACTGTAAATAGAGGATATAATTTACTCCCTAATACATTATAGCCATTCTTTTTCAAAGTTTATAGAGCTTCCTTGTGGAGTTAGCAATGTGGACAGACTAGTAGTGTCAATTTCAATTAGGGGTTTTCAGTATCAGAATGGTACTGTCCAAAGAAGCAGATGAGCTTCCTATATAGCTAAATGACAGCATCTCTAAGGATGCTCTTACTGGATTAGCCTCTTAGATATTCACAAATAGATTCATTTATACATGAAGTGTTGGAACCAGACCCTTTTCTACAGGAAGGCTTGGATATGATGCACTTGCCTTGAATAAAACCCTCTGATGTCATGTCTTGTGACTTCACCTCAAAAAGAAAAAAGAAAAAAAAAGACCTAGCTTGGAATGTCTGAATCTCTAAAGTTAACATTTCTCATTTTTTACATTCCTCTGACACTCTTCAGGAAAGTGATCATCTTGGGACTTATCTCAGCATACTCATTTATTTGGATAACATGTCTCTCCCTGGCCTCAAGAAGGGGGAAAAGACTTGCGTCCCAAAGTGAGATATCAGACAGGAGCCATGAGATTATTGTGGCTTCAGCTGAGCTGCTGTAGTTGCTGTCACCATTAGAATTTTTAAAATGCCCCCTTGGTCCTAGAGTAACTAAAGGATCATTTTCAAAGAAAAAAAGTAGACTTTCTAACAACGAAGTCTGTAAAGTTTAATTAGTGTATTTAGAAAATGCGTAATCTACTTTCAAATCAAGACTTAATCAAATGCTTTATAACAGTAATAAATCCAACACATCTACACGTTGTAAATTAAAAGTATAAATATCTCAGTTACATAAGCTATTTTTAATTGAACTCAAATGGTGCTATCTTATAAGGTTAATGATGAGCATACAGAATATGCTATTACATACCCAAACATGCTAATAAATAAGGGATAAATAAGCAAATATGCTCAGTAATGGTAAGTTTTCGTTTTTATGCCTATTTCTCTCCTTTTAAAGCTACAAATACTTATGTGCTCAATTTGCTTCATGTTCTTCTTCACAGAAAAGCTGGCTATAGGACACACCAAGGTCTGAACATTTAATGAACATCAGATGAAAATAAACAAGGGAAAAATCCAACCACATTTCCTCATATTCCAGACTCTGTCCAAGTTGTCCGTGTTACAAGGCATATAAATAAGTAACTTTAGATAGACTGACATGATCAAATTACTTATTTGTCTAGTGGCTTCACTGGCGTACCTCAGTCAAAATAGTTATCTCCAGTGATGACTCTTATTATAGTGGCATGCAAGACTTTCTTAGTGAAATATCTTGCAGATTTTTTGAAGGATGTCTGTCTTCTGGCAAAATTTAAAGCAGGGTCCTTGGAATCAAAGTTTTCACCAAAAACACTGTAAATCTGCTAGCTGAATGGCAATAAGCCTGGGCACCCATTTTATTGAACTGTGCAGATTTGTCCTGAGATAATGTGTACACTCTGTTGTTTCTAAAAGAGTAACACTGATATTCAGATGTGTTTCTACTAGTAGTTTCCCTTCCTGTATTGTTATTTCAATCAATTTTATAGCCCCTTTATATTTATCATACTCTAACTTCCCCCAATCTTTGCAAAATAGATGTAATAGTAGTAGTATATATATTGATGTAACAATATATATACTACTACTAGGTTACAGCTAGTCCTCAAGTTACGACAGGAATTGGGACCAGGATTGCCATCACTAAACAATGCGGTTGTAAAGAGCAATGTCATGTGACTGCATCACTTAGCCATAGCAATCCAGGCAATCCCGGTTGTCATTGTAACTCAAGATGAGCAGGTTGTTAAGCAGGAAGCAGAGGGAGTCCCAGGTAAGGAGCGCAGGGGTGCTACAGGGGGGTGGGGGAGGCCCAGGGAGGCCCGGCACAGGCCACACGCAAGTCAGGGGAAGGGGTGCTCAGTGCACTGCAAGCTCAGAAAGGCCAGGGAATGAAAGTGTGGGGTGCATGCAATTGGGAAACTGGGGAAAGAGGATGCGGGCTGTGTGTGCGTGATTGCAGGGAGGCCAAGGAAAGAGGGTGCAGGGTGTGTGTGATTGCAGGCAGACCATGGAAAGAGGACACGAAGTATATGCATGCGTGAGATCGCGAGGCCATGAAAAAAGGGCACAGGTTGCATGCCTATGTGTGCGCAAGTGCAGGGAGGTTGGAGGAA